TTATAGATATTTTCAGTGGAGTTCAATTTTTTCCATGATATATCATATTATTTTTTTTTTAAAGCGAGAGAAACAAAAGTAAATTTGAGTTTAGGTACTTGGTTCTCAGTCAGTTTAAGGGATAATCCTGGACTGGTCATTAGAGGACCATTTAAGATTCCTTCTTAGTTGTATAATTCTTCAATATCGTGGGGTTTGTTAAAACATTAATTTTAAAATTTACTTTTCCTAATTATTAGGTACATGTATTATTGATGTCAATATCTATATAGTCAGGCAAAGAATATTACTAGTACTTACAGTGTTAAATAATCCCACATTCATAGTGTTAAATGCAGTCAAGAAATTTTTAATCTATTTGTATTATAAGGACAACAAAGAAAAGTGCTTTAGGGGGAATACATCTGATAAGCTATCAGAAGTGGTCTTAGGATACTAGGCACATTGTTGACTTATTAGGATTATGTTTTCTGTTGCAGAGCCCTTTCTTGTCTTAGAGCACTCCCTACAGTGCATTAGTACTCCTTTATATTTTTACTTTATTGAGTTCACTTTGGAAAATTATATGTTTTTAAATATAAATTTTATCTTCTGAGCAGGTTAAGCCTTTTTGTCTTTAATTCATTTATTATAAGTTGAAGCTATTGGTGTGGGAGTGATAGCATGAAAGCACTATTTCCCTGAAAACTGGAAGAGAGAAAACCTTTTAAAAGGAAAGCTGTGTCTAGTTTTCCTTAATGACCAGTATCTATCTCCATGCCATTGAGAAGCATGCATGGTACTTTAAAGTACACTGGATTATATATCACATGTCTCCAGAAAAATGATTTCGAATGATTCAAGTCCATTTTAAGGATCAGTTCTTTAGAATTTGGAGTCTCCCTTCCTTTTACTTTTTAAATTTAACTTTTTATTTTGAGATAATTAGATTTACATGCAGTTGTAAGGAATAAAATAGGGTGAGCCCCTGTCCTCTTTACCCACTTTACCCAATGGGAACCTCTTGGAAAAGCACAGTATAATATCCAAACCAGGATATTAATATTGATGCAATCCACAAACCTTCAAACTTCACTGGTATTGTATACTTACACTCATTTGTGTGTGTGTGTGTGTGTGTGTGTGTGTGTGTGTGTATTTAGTCGTATACAGTTTATCACTTTTATATATACTCATCATCACAGTCAAAATACAAAACAGTTTTATTGCCACAAAAACCCCTAGTGTTACCCCTTTATAACCTGCTTCCTTTCTCCAGAGAGATTTTTGTTTGTTTTGTTAAATGCCTATTCATTTATGGTCTTGACTTAAAATAATTATCTTTTAAATTTCCACGTAAAAGTTTTAAAATTTTTACTTATTTGTTTATGTGGTTAAAAAATTTATATATGTAAAAGCCTAAGCGACCGAATGACTGGTCGACCAGTTGCTATAATGCGCACTGACCAGGGGGCAGATGCTCAACATAGGAGCTGCTCCCTGGTGGTCAGTGCACTCCCACAGCCAACTTCCTGTGGCCAGCCAACTTCCCGCAAGCCCTCCCCCCAGCGGCCGGCCCCAACCAATTGGCCCCGCTCGCCAGCCAGGCTGAAGGACCCCACCCATGCACGAATTCGTGCACCAGGCCTCTAGTGTATAATATAAAAGTTATCATCTTATTCATGCAGTTCAGTAGTAAGCACATTCATATTGTTGTGCACTAGATCACATCGTTTTTGTCCCTGCACCCATTAAGCAACAGCTCTCCTTTTCCCTCTTCCCCATTCCCCTGGCAGCCACCATTCTGTTTTCTGTTTCTGTGAACTTGACTACTTTAGATACATCATATAAGTGGAATTAAACAGTACTTGTCCTTGTAACTGGCTTATTTTATTTAGCATAAAGTCCTCAAGATTCATCCATGTTGGAGCAGATGACAGGATTGCTGCCTTTTAAAGCTGAGTAATATTATTCCATTGTATGGAATAAATAAGCTTTAATTTATCCATTTTTATTTTCTGACTTTTATTGACTTTTATATTCCATAGAGTGAATACTAACACAAATAGCAGGTGAAATATTTTGCATATAGAACATTTGTATAACAAGAATAAATATCAAGGTGACATCTAAACATTCTAGAGTTAGCTCTTTTAGCTATAGGTAACAGAAACCTTATCTGAACTAATTTAAATAAAAAGAGGGATTTTATTACAAGGAAACTGAGATTGAATCTGAGGATGGAATGTGGCCTTAGAAATGGAACTTGGTTGTCTCTAGTCTTTGATGGACCTGCTGTTGTTTTTTCACTGTGTATGGTGGCTTTTATCACATGACTAGAGGCCTGGTACATGGATTTGTGCACCGGTGGGGTCCCTCGGCCTGACCAGTGCCCTCTCACAATCTGGGACCCCTCGGGGATGTCGGACTGCCGGTTTCGGCCCATTCCCCACAGGCCAGGCGAGGGACCCTCGTGCACCGGTGGTGTCCCTCAGCCTGGCCTGTGCCCTCTCGCAATCCGGGACCCCTTGGGGGATGTCAGACTGCCAGTTTCAGCTGGATCCCTGCAGGCCAGGCCGAGGGACCCAACTGGTGCAAGAATCTGTACACCGGGCTGGTTTCAGCCTGATCCCCACAGGCCAGACTGAGGGACCCCACTGGTGCACAAATCTGTGCACCGGGCCTCTAGTATGTGCATACAAGATCTTTGATTAATCTCTTCCTGCCCTCTCCTTTCCCCCTTCTCTCTGAGATTCATCAGTCTGTTCCATGTTTCCATGCCTGTGCATTGAGCGTCTGCCCCCTGGTGGTCAGTGTGCGTCATAGCTACCAGTCGAATGGTCACTTAGGCTTTTATATATAGAGATGATGAAATGGCTCTTTACAAATCATGGACCCTTTGGGTTCAGCCTCCCAAAGACCTACTTGCTCAATTGGTCCAAGTACAGGACTCCCAGGGGAAGGGAATGACTGGCATGGCTGGCCTCAATGGCCTGCCCTAATAGGCCTGACCACAGGCATGGTCAGGAAACTGGAGCCGATGCGAGGGCTAAGCAATATCTGTGGGAGCTGTGTGCATCAAGTGTGAGGCTATGGTTGTCAGAGAGAAAGGGAATGAAGGCTAGAGAGACCAAATGAAAGGTATGCTCATTAACTCTATAAACTCAACTTCTGTGAACAGTAATTGAGGATATATTGAAGAATAATGGAGTTGAAAATTTTGGGTAAAGACTATTAAAATTATATAAGGTAAAGAATTCTTAATAAAATAAAAAGTTCTGACTGTTTAATAGTATATATAAAGTTGAGAGCCAAGGTGGGAATCACATGAAATTCTTAAAATTATAAAAGATAAATTTACTGACTAATTTCTGGAATGATTTGAATTGAGGAAGAGATTTTTAAATGTCTTATCACCGCTATTTAGTGTAGAAAATAGAAAATTACATATCAAACAGTAATAAGTTGTACAATTAACTTCAGGAGATTTGAAAATATATGAGGGGTGTCTTCGACAAATTGATGCACTATGGCTACATAATGGAAATATTTAGAGGAAATTAGTGTGTAGCCTTACCTTCTGAAGTCATGGAAAGAATTATTTTCCCATCAAGCATTAGCAAGGATGGTAATTGTTAAAATTTATTTAGTACTGCTACCGTATTTGCTGGCGTATAAGACGACTGGGCGTATAAGACGACCCCCTAACATTTCCACTCAAAATACAGAGTTTGTTATATACTCGCCGTATAAGACTACCCCCTCTTCCGCACACCTTCCACACACCAAATAAAAGGTAAAACAATATCAGATTTGATTTTAACATTTTAATTTATATTCAAATGCTTATGACATGCAGGAAAACTGTCACAAGGCTGTATGTAATCAAACATATACATAAAACAGTGCAAGTTTATTACCGGTAAACATACCGGTAATTCACTAAAGAAAACACACTCTATAGACTGGTACCGTAGATGCTTCTCAGGAACACAGGCAAGCAGCCCACAACCTAGAGGGACTGTCAATGATAGAAG